GACTCGGGGCGCAGGATGAGCTCACAGCTCAAAAGCAGCGCAAACCTGACAAGGAGATTCGTTGGCGGATTTTTAAAGGTTCTGGAGTGGAAAGGGAAAGCATGGGAAACCGATTCCGTTTATTGCTCCCGGCGGCGGTAGCCGGAGCCCCGCGCAGTTGCAGGAGCCCTGTGCTTGGCCAAGCTCGGTCCCGGGCCCCTGTGCGCGCCGCCGAGGGGGAAGGAGTCGTTGCGGGCTTCCTGCACTTCTGGGAGAGCCGGTTTGGGCCAGGATCCTGGGCCCAACTCCCTCCTAGGCTCAAAAGGGGAGTTCAGGCCCTCAGCCTCAATCTCTTAAATTTAAACAAAACAAAACAAAACTCCCGATTACCCCCGAATACACGTGGCAGACCCCAGGTGCAGAGAGGAGACGCTCTGAGCTCCCAAGAGATTGTCCCAGCAGCCAGGACTCCAGGATGCAGCTAGGGCAGAAAAATCTCTCAGGGACCTCCCAGGAGGCTGCCCATCTGCAAGGGACACATCCTGCCGCCCGTGAGGGAAGAGGTTCCCAACACCTGGGCTTTGTTTGAAATCAGCTCTGTGGTTCCCGTTCCTGGGAAGTCTGGGTTGGGACGTCCCCAGCCCTCTCCAGGACCCACTCCAGAACCAGGGACTGGGGGGCACACTGAGAGGCCCCCACTCTAAGCAGCACAGGGAACAGCCTTGCCACACAGCTTTTGAACTCCCTGTGCCAGAAGTTGGGATCTGTGTCCTGCTGACCTCTAAAGTTATCTGGGTCACAGAGAGCTTCCCCGGGGCTGGGGGAGGAAGAGGGGCAAAAAGGGGCCTGAAACATTAACTGCAGAGTCCAGGGAGGCTCCTGTGGCCCCAGTCTGGAGCTGAGGTGCAGTGCTGGGGTGAAGCCCCCGCTGTGGGCCAGTGTGGAGGCCTCCACGGGGAGGAAATGGCCCAGCAGGTTGTCTGTGCCCCACCAACCCCCATTCTAGACCCAACACTCAAGCTAGCTCTTTGCCCCGGGCTGGAAGGCCTCTGCATTCAGTCCCCACTGGCACCAAGACCACCTCCGTTTTTTCCACTGTGTAGTGGGAACCAAACCGGCTCGTCCCCAAGCATCCCTCGTGGTCTCCAGCCTTCTGTTGCTCAAACCTGGGAGACATTTCCATCTAGTGCAGGGCAGGAGAATGTGCCCAGGGAGGGAGACCTCCAGCTTGGTCTGCCTCAGTGGCCCCTGGGTGGGACAAGGACTGATGGTCTGGACCCTACCGGGGCAGTTCCAGATCTCGGAGGAGAGCCCATATGTAAACTGAAGGAGACTTGCCTTTTTCTTCTTAACTACTCAGAGTTTTTCTGAGCAGGACCCCGAGGGTGAGCAAAGCTTGAGTCCGATGGAGCCCAGAGACTGAGAGCCTGACAGTGGTGACCAAGTGTAAGGAGCAGGGAGCTGAGGCAGAACCTGGCCACCTTGGCGCATCCGGCCCATCACCAGCCCTTCCCACCTCCCACAAGCAGAGCGCAGCGAGGCTCGCTGGGGCCTGAGGGCCTGGGGAGGGCGGCTGGGCAGCTCAGACCCTGCACCTCCAGGCACACAGACCTCCTCTCCAGAGGCCCAGCCTCGGCGAGGTGGCATGGGGCATAGGTCCTGGCTGAGCAAAGGGACCCTCCAGCCCTGGAGGGAGTGGACAGTGAGACCCAGTGTCGTTTTACTACTCATGGCTTCTCGGGGAGGCCCGGAGTTGGGGACCCCCTTGCTCGCCCATCACAATGCTTACTACAGCACTGCAGGACCGGCTTTCCTCCCTCTCCCAAACTGGCCCTTTCCCAAAGGAGTTCATCTGCTCATGGGTCTCGGGCTGTCCCTCTCTGCTTGCTGGAAAGGCTGGGAGAGGGCAGAGCTCCGGGGCTGAAATGGGGCTCCAGAGGGCGGCAGAAGCTGGGGTAAAAGTCCCCTCTCTGGTCCCCTAGATCCCAGCAACCAAGTTGGTTCCAAAACTCGGTAGAGAGTAGGACACGTGCATGAAGCCAACCGACACCTCACCAGCCTTGGACCATCCACCAGGCCAGGAACCGAGGAGGTCACTGAGATGGGGTGAGCAGCACTTGACCCCCCAGTGCGGGGTCCCCTAGGCCCAGCATCACGGCCACAAGACTCCCCAGAGTTTGGCTCAGTTTGGAAACTGCCCTTAAACCTTTTAGTATCAACGAAATGAAAACTGCCTCTTTTCCCATACCTGTACCCCCAAGTCCCCAAATGTCTACAGGGCAGGACACAGCTGCGTGCCAGGAGAACCAGAGTCTGATTGTGCTTGCTTCATTCCTTCTCTCTTCAGGACTACACAATGCCTGACCTGCTCTCCGTTCTAAGTCTGGCCACGCGGGGGCAGGGCCTGGCCAGGCCAGGACCCAACCTGGGCCAGGGCCATGGCCTTGGGGACGGCCTGCTTGCACTCCTCTAGCTGCCCGGCTGATCGGAGAGAGCCCGCTGCCTGCCGACACTGCTGCAGCACCTGGAGGTGTGGCTCCTGGGCTGTTCCTCCTTGATCCCTCCATCTCCCTCTCCAGACAGATCCCAAGCTGCAGGACCTCCACCCTGCAGGGTCCCAAGCAGAAGGCAGGAAAAGGACCAAGGCCAGGCCCTCTACCCACACTCCAGCTCTCCTTCCCCAAGCCCTGGCAGGGGCACAGCCCCAAGTCAGGAGGGTCTCCTAGCCCAGACTGGCCAGGGCTGGAGGATTTTGAGCCGGAGGTCTCCTGAGCTGAGGGAGGGAACAGGAAGAGGACCTGAGTCGCTGGAGAGCCCCCAGGAGAAGGCAGGCCTTCCTCATCTTGGGGCCTGCGGGCTGCCTCCAGGGCGGGAACGGACCCTGTCTGCAGGTGGGAGTGCTTCACAGGTGCCCCTGTCTTCTCCTCGGGCCTCCTACTTAACCTTGCTGGGATGCTCCAGGCAAGGGGGCCTTGGGGTGAGCCTGTGTTCTCTCTGGCCAGCAGCCCCAGACTAAGGTTAGGCCCACGGGCTGCAGCCTGTCTTGGCTGGGTTAGAAGGGACAGCTCCAGAGCTCGGGCTCCAGCTCCCTTCCTTCCTCTCCCAGGGACCCCCCCACCACCACCACCCTGAGCGTGAGTGGGTTCTGAGCCCACTGGGGCCTGCAGCAATGCCCTAGCCCCCCATGAGGACTCCCCACCAAGACCCTGAGAGTCTGGCAGCAAGGCCCAGGGACCCTCTGAGCCCAGCGGTTCTCCGCCCAGCCCGGGGGGAAAGACAGCGTGGGGGCGGGGTGGGGGCAGGGGCAAGGCTCTCGGCAGGCAGGACGGCGGCACTGGGACTACGCTGCTGGTGCGCTAGGCGCCGCCGCAGGCAGCACTCACCTGGGGCCGGAAACAGCGGAGGCAGCGGCCAGTGAGAACCAGAGCCGGGCAAAGAGCACTTTCTCTGTCCGGGGAGGCAAGAGAAATGCAAGACTTGTCGCCCCCGAACAGTGGGGACTCCGTCCGGGTTCGAATCCCGGCAAGGAAGCGGCTGCAGACCGCGACGGCACGAAGGCGGAAGGCCCAGCACACGGCCGCCGCTGGCTCCTGCCAAGTCCAGCTCCGTCGCGCTTCTCCTCTGTGGTGGCGTTGGCTATGCGCCCTTCGCCATCGGGGGTGCCTCTGCTAGGACCCCGGGGTCTCAGGGTTGGCTCCTTGGCCGTGGCCGGTTTACTTCTTTCGTGGCAAGGGCGCAGGGTTCGAACGTAGGTCCCAGCGGCGGCGCTACTGGTCTCACTGCACAACAAAAGGGGGGTGGCATGGCCAGGAGCCCACCCGGGGCGGCAGAGAGCCCGCACCCCGGACACGACCCTCCCCGGCTCAGGTTGACTCTGTGGCAGCTCCAAGTCCTGCAGCCGGGCAGAACCCTGGTGCTTGAAAGGGCGCGGGGTTCAGTGCCTGCGTTTGCTTCCAATTCATTCTCTAATCCCAGACATACTCGAATGAGGAATTCTCACTGTCCCCACGAGGCCCCTGGGCCGGGACACCCTGCCTGGGTCCAGCAGGGCCCTCCGCTGTCGCGCCTCCGAGTTTGAGGGTTGCGGGCCAGAAGAAGCCCCTGGTGGGCTCCCGCCCGCGCTCCTCCACCTGCTCCGCCGGCCCTCCCGCCCGCGACGCACCTGGGCCGCGAGAGGCGAGGGGGAAGTGTCCCCAGAGGCCCGGGTCCCCAGAGGTGGCCCAGCTCGGGCGCTTGCGCGGCTGGGTACTCACCTGGGGGCCGCGGAGGCAGGAGTGCGTGGGCCCGCCCCCAGGGCGGCGAAGTGCGGGGCCCCCGGTGTTCGGATGGCTGACCCCGCGCTGCCTCCCCTGTGCCCGGCGCGCTGCTCCCCGCGGGACCGAGAGCGGCGGGTCCGAGTCCCGCCCGCCAGCCCGGGCAGTGGCGGAGCGCGGAACTGGCGGCGCCGCCGCTGTTGTTTTTGAGCCGCGAAGCCCGAAGCAGCAGCGGTTGGGTGGGGGCGAAGGGGAGGGGGCGGGGGCCAGGGAGGCCCGAGGGGGGCGGCGGGGCCCGGAGGGGGCTTCGGAGGAGCCGGGTTGGGCGCGCGGGCCCGGACACCCCCTCGGGCGGTCGTGGGCTGTGGGCGGGGGCCGAGGGGAGAGACAGGGAGAAAAGCGGCGTGGGGCGACGGTGAACGCAAAGCTTTTTAATTAGTAATAAAATGCAATAAAACGAAGCCAAACCAGCCAGACCCGCGTCCGAAGTGTCGGCGCGTTTGCCCCCATATCCAAGGAAGTCGCGAGGACAAACGCAGCCGCCACTCCATCTTCGGCCCCGGCGGGGGCGGGAGCAGCAGAGCGACGCGACCAGGGGAAGGGTGGGGGGATAGTCACCTTGCCTCCGGGGCCACCTGGGTCCTTTTAAAGTGTCCGGGGTGCGGGCCCCGGGCGGGAGCGCGGAGCACGGAATGTTTTCTTAAAGGGCCAGTTCCGAGCTGCGCTGCAAGGGGGGGGGAGGGGGCGGGGGGAGAGATAAGTGAGGGGAAGACCGGGAAGGCCGAGGAGAGCCCCCCAATCCCGCGCCGAGGCGGCGGCGGCGGCGGCGGCGGAGCGACGATGAGGATGATGAATACATTGCAAAGTTTTTTTGGCCCCGGCGAGGGGTGTCAGATTGAGTGCTCTGTGCGCATGTGCGAAGGTGTCCAAACTGACAATGCTGGGGAGATGAAGATAGTGTGTAGCTGCTTCTGGACTCAAGGAGGAGGAGAGAGATTCCGCGAGCCGACACCATGCGATCCAAGGCGAGGGCGAGGAAGCTAGCCAAAAGTAAGTCTCCCGCGC